GGTGTGAGCAGGGGGGGCGGGGCGGGGGTTCCTCTGAGTAGGACCGCGCAGGGCGGCCCCTGAGGCAATGGTGAACAGGATTCCTGCCTGGGGGTCCTGGGCAAGCCGCCCTGCCCAAAGTGAGGCAGTTGGAGTTTGTTTTTAACAGTCACACTGTCAGTTACAGCTTCTCCGGAGCTGTATACAGAAACACTCAACCCCCACAAGTACTGTCAGACACACACACAGCTTCTGTTCCACGGTTCCTGGCAGCCCCCTCCCCCGCATGATAGTGACAGAGAACTAAACAGCCTCCTGTTGACACTCAGTCTCCCAATGATAGTGGTACCAAATGCACAATATCCTTTTCACACCCACGCACAATCTCCCAGTGCCAAAGATACTTATCCACAGCTTCTCACTCAGAGTGACACAGACTTGCAACCTCCAATTCACATGTGCACACGTTGGCACAGCCTCCCAGAGGCCACAGGGTCTCCCACGGAAGGCAGCCTGCATAAGTGTGCCCAGGCACACACAGCCTTCCAGGGATATCCACCCATAGTCGCATAGAGCCTCCAGCACAGTGAATCGGACACCTAATCTTGGGCCCCAGAATCAAACCGAATCACACGCATTCTCCAATCCTCACATCAACGCACAGCTGCTCAGATGGCCGCCTCCCCTCCCCATCCCATTCGGGAATGCTCGAAATAGGACTGACTCCCATCCCGACCACTTCACCTTCAAAACAGGACGCCCCACCTCTCTCCGGAGGTCAAGTCTGTTCTGGAGCTTGTCTAACTCGGGAGCAAGAAACCCACAAAGTTGGGGTTGGGGACGCAGAGGGAGATCATGTTGTGCAGAATCAGAGGACCCATTTAACTCCGGCATGCACAGCCACCTCTCTGCCCCTTCTGAACAGGGGTGAGTGCTATAGAAAAAGAGTGTCCCAACTCAAGACGAGGTGTCTGACAATGTCCCCTCCTCGAGCCTCCTGCTGAGCCCCCGTCCCTCCGCCACCACTACCACCTGAGTTGGACAAGAGGAGGAAACCTAGCGATTTCTAGATGCTCTACGCACCAGGCGGCACTTCAAAGGTGGCACCGTAGGGGTGTGTCTGTGCGTCTCTCCTCCCCCTCTGCTAGCCTCCACCAACTCGCTCCACTCCTAGACGCTGGCCTGGAGGAGCCATGTGAGTCTCAGGGGAACTCAGTGACATGCCGGGACCCTGACCTGGATGACGCGCATGTTGAGGCCAGTCTCCTGAGCAAGCTGCTCGCGAATATGGCGGGTGGGCTTGGGCGTCGCGGCGAAGGCGGCCTTCAGCGTCTCCAGCTGCTTGGCTTTGATGGTGGTGCGCGGCCCTCGCCGCTTGGCGCCCAGGTTCTGGTCGTCATTCTCGTTGCTGCCCCCTTCCTTGTCCGATACATTGGCGCTCTCCGAGTCCTTGGCGTCGTCCTGCGATGGGTCTTGGGAGTCCGGAGACAAACTGGGGTCACTGCCCGTGGTGGCTGGGGAGAAGGGACAGGTGAGCAGTTGCTTTGGGGGGGGCCTTCCTCCCCCAGGACCTGCCCGCCCATAGCGAGTTGGGAATTGGGGCCTCACCCGAGTGGAGGCTGTTCTCTTTGGCGACACTGCTGTTGCTTAGGTAATCCTCTTTGCAGACGAACTTATTCTCGTCGATGATGTAGAGCTCCTCGCCGGTAGAGAGCTGCTTGTTACACATCATGCAGGTGAAGCAATTCAGGTGAAACACTTTGCTTCGTGCTCTCCGCACCAGGTCGCTAGGGGAGATGCCCTGCGCGCAGCCAGCGCATTTGGTACCGAAACACCTGCAGGGGGGCGGGTTGATGAGGGACAAGGAAAGACAGGGGCAAAGACGAAAGAGAATGAACGAAGTAGAAAGTGGAGGAAGGAGGAGGAAAGGAAAGGGAAAAGGGAAAGGGGGGAGGGAGAGGGGGAGAGAGAGGGGCGGGGAGAGAGAGAGAGAGAAGAGAAGAGAAGAGAAGAGAAGAGAAGAGAAGAGAAGAGAAGAGAAGAGAAGAGAAGAGGCCAAAAAGAGAGGCAAAATGCCGATCAAGCAGGCAAGAAGTCAAAGAGAGAGCGGGGTCATCATGAAAAGTCGGGGAGAAGACACACATGGTTAGAGTGAAAGAGTTAGGGGCCTATGCTGCCCCCACCCCTAGCCTCACGCCCAGTGTTGTCCCTGAGGGGGGAAAAAAGCTACCGAAAAAGGTGGCAAGGCGGCAAAGGGAAAGGGGAGGCACTTATTTTCTCCTTAGATTCAGAAAAACAGTCAAATTCGAGCTCGAGTTCCATATAAACGTGTCCCGAGCGCTGCTTATCTCTCCTACTGTCGCCTCTCCTTCGCCGCAAAAGGACCCGCGCGCACAGGCTGCGAGTTGGCAAGGTCCAGTCCCGCCGCGGGTAAACAAAACAGCCGCGGAGAGCCCAGACGGCCGCAGCTGGACTGCTGCCATGTTCAAGCCCAAAGCCCGGCAGGTTGACGCAAGCTAGAGCAAAGGCTTGACGCTAGGTTCCTGGCCGTGCTTTACCGGAGCCAGGCCTCTGGGGCCCTGGCAGCCGGCACGGTTCGTCGCTCCCCGGCTCGGTTCCAGTCAGTACCGGGGAAACCTGGCGCGGCCTGCCGAGGCTCAGCCTGCACAACGCTTTGCTCCGTGGAGCCAGGCGTTCTGGGGCAGCATTGGGGACAGGTGGCTTTGAACCCTCACCTCCCCCCCACACACACACACGTTTGAACTGTAACCACAAACTCAGAAGAAACCAAGTCAGCCCAGTAAACTGGGAGATTTCAAACCCAAACAAGGGGATTACAATTCGCATTTGCTTCTGTTGTTTTCTGTTGACTTGTGTGTTTGTACAGATTTGCTGGCAAGATAGTGAGTTTAAGGGAATACAGTTGAAATGCTAAACGGAGGAGGGGCGACGGAGAAATCTCGACTTTTCTCCGGGTTTCGAAAAGAGATGGCTGGAGGGGAGCGGGCAGTGCCTGGGAGAGCTCCGAGTGGAACCCTCGCCTCAGAACCGAGGTCCGCGTTTGGCGGAGACCCAACCTCTCTCCAACCTGGGGCAGCGGAGGGAAAGCAGGGGAAAAGGTCTTCGCCGAGGCTGAAGCCTCGGGGCATTTCACTGGCACCTTGCAGCAGTGAACCCAGGACGGTTCTTGGAGGCCAGTTGGGGTTTGGGGAACACCCTGGATGTGCGGGATAGGCATCAGGACTGAGCTTTTCTCTGTCGCTGCCAAGGCAGGCCACTTGGACACTCCATGGAAAAGGCTCGGCGGTTCACGCCAAGACCTCTCGGAGACGGAAAAGGCAATAGCATGGAATTAGCCCCGGTTTCTAAGCTCAGTCCAGAGAGGGGGCAACCCAGGACTCAAGAATGCAGTCGCTGGAGAGGTCCGCGCACTGAGAAAGACAAGAGCGGGGACTACTAACAGCCGAGACTGCGCTGCCTCTCTCCAAGCTCAGACCTTTTCTTCCCGGGCACGTGCAGCCAAGCCCGGACCCACAATTTCCAGGACGCGAGCAGGGCCGCGTCCCAAGCGCCCAGCGCGCCAGCTGGCGAAGAGGCGGGCGCCGGTGGGACTTGGCTACCCTCTCCGAAGGTAGTTACTAACGCGGCCGCCGAGGCCACGCTGACCTCTGATCCGTAGCTGGCCTGGAAGAGCCCGCGGGAAGGGCGCAACAGAGGTGCTCGAGGGATGTACTCACCGAAAGAAGTCGTTCTTGCAGTAGAGCTTGCCATCCCGGGAGAAGCACTTCTCGGTCAGGTTGCACTTACATTCACAGCACTGGACGCACTTGACGTGCCAGGCCCTGTCCAACACGTTCAAGAGGAAGCGGTCCAGGATGGGCCTTTTGCAGCCGGCACAGTGCACCATGGTCTTTGGTTTGGTCGGGTGAGGCCCGGAGAGAGAAGAGCAGGTAGGGCCGAGGAGGTGACTTCCGAAGACGACTGGCACGAACTCTCCAGGCCCTCCAAAAAGAGGAGGCTTACTCGGCAGTGGAGGCCAAAACCCGCACCAGAAAATCAAAAGAGGGGGAAACGAGGCAAATGGGGACCGGGAAGCACCTCAGTGGTGTGCAGCCCGGGAGTCCCAGGGCCCCGGGGCACAGAAGCGCCGCGGCAGCTCCTGGGGCGAGGAAGAGTCTCAGGCGGGTGCGAAAGCGACTCTTCTGCCCAGAGCCCGCGAAGGAGTGAAGGTCACCGAGAACAGTGACGGGGACGTAAATAAATAAGACGGAGACGGAGAAGGAAGAGGACGACGCGGCGAGCTCGGGTTGCAGGGAAAGCGCCGCTGAGTTCTCTCCGGCTTGAGGTAGAGCTGTCAGAAGTCAAAGTGCATCTGCTTTTGTCGGGGTATGAGGGTGGGTGTGTGTGTGCCCGGCTTTCAGCCACCGGGGTTTCCCCTCCTCTTTTATAAAAGAAAACAACAAAATGAGTAGAGAAGCTTTGGATCCTAAACTGCCGGCATCGCGCAGCGGGTCGGGACGCGCTGGGCGCCCGCGGTGGGGGGGGGGGAGGGGAGGGCAGAAGGAAGATCTCGTTGTTGACTGTAGTTGTTGCTTAGATTTCCCCCCTTTTGGAGAAGTGTTTGTGTCAATCGAGAACGGAGAGAGGCACAACTCCGGGCGGACGCAGCCAGACGCGCTCGCTCGCTTCCCACCACCCCAGCCCCGTCACCTCAACCCGTGGCCTGCCTGGCGGCCTCCGTGTTCTCAGGACCGCCCTCCCTGCGCCTGGACTCCTTCGAGAAGATGATACGGGCTGGCTTCTCACCGCGCCTGGCCGTGCATCGTGGCTCCAGTCACAATTCGCGGCTGCCTGGGCGCGCAGCCCCTCATCGCTGGCACACGCTCCGGCTGCCTGCGTCCAACCCTACAGTCGCTCGACTTTTCCTTTTCCCCTGTTTTTTCGTTGTGGTGGCAAATATGGGTTTCCTTTCTAGCCTTTTTTTTTTTTCTTTTGCGGCGAGAGGAGTCGGGAGGAGGGGGAGTAGCTTGGAGAGCTTTTAAAAACGTCCTGGTGCAGCGGCTAGAGTTCTGCGCCGCGGGAACAGCTCGGCACCGGCCGCAGCTGTCGCTGCCCGGGCCGCTGTTCGTTGCTGGCCCTTCCTGGACAAGCGTCCCTCTGTCCCTGGTCTCCTGGCCCAGTCCGCCGCCCCAGCGCGTCTCTCCCCAGCTCCGGCGGCTCGGTCACTGCTCCTGGCTGTTGGCTGAGCTCTGGAAGCCCCCTCGCCTTAATGCAGCGCCCGCCGACGTCACGACGGCCTGCGACCAATCAGCGGCTCGCGGTCCCTCTGTAAACCATTCTGCATCCCCCCGGCCGGGGAGAGTGCGGGGAGACCGCGTTTAGAGGATCAGTGGCGGCCGCAATCGCGGCCCCGCGTGGTGCGGGCGCCGGGCAGCAAGGTGCCCGGGCTCCCTCCTGCTCCGGTAAGGCGTCGGGTTCGGTGGGAGGGACTGAGAGAACACGCGAGTAGGCGCAGGCGGAAGGCAGAGTTCTGAAGGGTGGGTGTAATCCTAGTGTAAGCCTTGTTGAAGGTTGGGGTGCAGCTGGGTCCGGGAGCCCTGGCGGCCCTGGTGCAGTTTGGCTTTGCAGTTCATTGGGTATTGGCTCCCCCCCCCCCCTTCTACTTGCTTTCTTGGCCTAGAAGTTTGCCCCGCGCGCCTCTGGGGAAGTGGTGGAGGGAGGGCACTTGGCCGCAGATTTTCCCTCCTCCGGTCCTCCTTTCTGTGCCCCCTCCCCCAATCCATCCAAAGTCCACAGGGTCCGGGTCTCTGGGAGATCTGGGTGTCTGTTTCCCGCAGCGGGGTCTTGGAAAGTTGATTCCGGCGATTTCCTGGTGGGGGCGGGGGAGACCGGAGGCGCGGCGCCTGGGAGGGGGAAAGGAGTGGGTGGGGAAGCGCCTCCGGTGAAGAGTTACAACTTGGGCGAGAAATTGGGAGGAAACTGTGATCCGGAGACACCTTTTACATACAAAAACAAGCGACGAGGCGGGAGACCGCGGGGCTCCAGCTGCGGCTGGGGGGTGGGGTGGAGTGGTGATAGTGGCGGTGGGAAGAAGAATAGAGGAATGTCCCAGGGGTTCCACAGAGAGGCTGCAGTGGATTGGGGTGTACAGCACACGGGCAGGGCGGGCCTGGATTTCTGTCCTCCCCCTTTCCAGGCCTCTGGTTGGCACCAAGTTCCCCAGACAACCGTCAACTGTGCACATCCTCGGTAGTTCACTCTGAGAGAGCCCATACCTCCCTAATTCTGCTCTGAGTATAAACTCTGGACCACTGCCCACGGGGGGCGGATTATCCCGGACATGGGGGTTGCGTCCGGGTCCTGAAAGCCTTAGCTAGCCTCGATGAGTCATTCACGTTCCCTGGCCCATACCAGTCAAATACCAAATTCCGTTTCCACAGCACCATTTCTGTGCTTAACCTCCCTAAGTTTGAAAGTAGCAGGGCTGAGCAGTTTTGATCTTTTGCTCCTCATTTTTGTTTTGTGGGAGAGGGGGTGTTAGGAAAATGCATTCGGCCCTAGAGTGGAAGGAAGTAAGGATGGGCAGCCAGTCGGGTCTAGCCGGTATTTGGGGCTTGGCCTTTTGCCCCCACTCGCGATGCGGGGCTGAGACATCCCACACAGGGCCCGAGGCTAACCCGGGAAAAATGCGCAATGAAACCCCATTGCCTTGAGCACGGGTGGTAAGGGAATCCAGCCCTCTGCAAATGGAATACCCTTTTCGGACGAATCGGGAAACGCGTAATGCGAATTTGGTTTGCGCTTCTGTGGGACGGGGGTTTTAGGGTTCTGCTAACGTCCCTTTTCTGCCTCCAAGCCTCCGCTAGCACTGCCCTGCAAACCCGGGGCTTGCCAACAGCCCCCGCCTTGCTGTCCGCGTCACCTTTTTCATTGGAAGCCGAAATCCAGTCCTCCCGCGCGCTTCTAACGCCTCCGCCGCACCCCACTACACACACACACACACACACACACACACACACACACACACACACACACTCACTCTCTCTCTCTCTCTCTCTCTCTCTCTCTCTCTCTCTCTCTCTCTCTCTCGGCTCCTCGCTGGGCGGTGTTGGGGTTGGTTATCTCTCTCGCCTCAGCCCCCTCTGAGGGTGGCTGGGGATGCGAGTCTCTCCCAGGCTGGGGATGGGAGGGCGGTTTTCCAACCCAGCAGGCCGGCTTCGCGGGCTCAGACTTGGCTTTGTGCTCCACCTGCGGACCGGACAATTCCTGGAGCAAGCCCATCCGTAACGGTACTCCGGGACCGGGAGAGGCACTTAGAGCTGCGTTAAGAGGGAGGGGTGTTCGCCTTCTCCACCGGACCCCAGGCGCTGGGGAAGCCGGCTGAGCTGGGTGAGGTCCAGTCCAGCGGTCTCCACGTTCCTCACTCCCCCAGCTGTCTTGGTTCTTGCAGCTATCGCCCCCCCATCCAACCGCCCCTTTCTGGAATCTATAGCGGACCCTGTCCCGAGTGGCTCGCCCCCGCCCCCGCCCCAGCTGGGCTCCTTCTCATGCAAAGCAGAGGAGCCATGGGAGTGGGGGCCGGTCGGCGGGGGACCTGTGGGGTGACAGCTGGACCCGGCTGCCGGCCCTTCCTGAACCCAAAGCCCGCAGTGGGCAGGAGAAGGAGAAGGTTGCTGCACAAGTTCGGGGTTGCAGGGACCTTGGGATCCTGACATGGGGGAAAGAGGGCCATCACGGCCGGCAAACCAGCTCGGTAGAGGCGTTAAGGGTGAGGACAGGTCGTGAGCTCCGGGGCACCCAGCTCGTCCTGTGTCCAGATGGCTCCATAAAAGGATCTACAGAACCAACCCTAGTGTCTACTAGGAGGTCCGGGAGCACAACTCTAGGCCGGCCTCTTGGCTCCTGAGTCTAGGTTTAAAGTCCAGATTTAACGCCTTCACGGTGACAGCACACTAGATTAATGTTTTCTTCGTTTCCACTGAGTTTTTATTTTGAAATGTAATTGGTCACAGAGACATGGAGAGAAAACTGACTCAGCTTTCCAAATTCACCATCTCCGAAGCCCCTCAGCTCAGTTCTGCATTTAAACCAATGTCTGCTGGGTGAAGAGCACCAACCTTCCCATCTCATCCTCCCCGCCAACGACTGCCTGCGTCCTGAAATGAAGTGCACAGAGCTTTCCTACCCAACACCCTCGAAGTCACTCAGACCCATAACCATGTACACTGCCCCAGGTCAAATAAATTCTGGACGGGATGCCGTGAGGTTCCTCAGTGGATGCACAACCCTCTCCACTTCATGCCCAGGCACTCTTGGAAAAGGCCCCAGAGGACCCAGGAAGGGGCTTTCACATTATAGGTTTCTCTTCTAAGAAGCTCCTTGAAGATCAGCCCCAGAGGAGGGTCTCTTCAGGGCAACTGGGCACAGAGGGGGTTCTACCAGCCCTCCTCAGCCACCCTGCACTTTCGGGAGCTGAAGGCACCCTCTCCCGCACCCCCTCCCTGCCCCCGCCGTCTCCTTGGTTCCGAGCCCCACTTGACCTCAATCCCCTAGGTTCCCCAGTGGCTCCTGCTACCCAAGAACCAAAGCCTGCTCAGCCCGGTCTCTGCTGTTGATTCCCGCCTCCCTCCAGAGCGGCGAGCGCCTCGGCCACTGCGCTCCAGTCCAGCCCACGATCCCCAGAAACGGGTGGCGAGGCCTCAAAGGGAGGAGGCGCCTGGGGCAGAACGGACTCTAGGTGGTTACCTGCACCTGGACACAGGAATGGAGTGCAGCCACGCGGGGCCAGGAAGAAGGAGGAGGGAGCGAGCCCGCGGGTCCCGGAGGCCATGCAAACTCCAAACGGACTCGGTTGATGATGCCGCAGATGCGACGCAAGAAACTGTTTGGCCAGGGTCCCTCGGATCTGTCCGACCTCTCCTGCCTCAGGTTCTTAATGTCACTCCATCACGCTCTCCTGGAAATGGCCTATTTGTGTGCAGCACTTTACAGTTGATAGCACTATGGCCCCTGAACCACATAGTAAGAGAACGGAACGGTGTTATCTCCTTGGGAAGAACCCCAAGTTACAGGGTTTGCTTGAGACCCCTCCGTCAGTGCACTACTGAAGGAGAGAAGTTTGGGGTAGCGGCTGATCACCTCGCCCAGGGTGTACTTTGCCCCAGCCATGTCTTCCGAGGTAGGGTGGGGGGGAAATCCAGAGGCCAGGAAAGGGACAGCATCCGGCTGGGACTTCACGGTGTGCGCTTGGGCTGGGCATACAACGCTGGCTTCCCATGAGGGCTGGAGGGTCCCTGGGCATGGGGAGGGGAGCGAGGTGGAGCGTGGTGAGCTCGGATGCAAGTCAGCACAGCGCGGCGGAGCAAAGAGAGGACGCGGATGTCTGAGAAGGGAGAGGGGTTAGCAGGAGTTAGGGTAGCGAAAGAAGCGAGGGAGAGGGACGGGAACCCGAGAATTAGGGCAGAAAACCAATGAAAAGAAGACAGGAATGCGGAAAAGCAAGCGGAGATAAAAGGGGCAAAGACGTGTTGGGGGAAAATGCATGGAGAAGTAG